GTCGGGTATACCAGAGACCGTATTTATAATCACTGGGGTATACAGCGGCGTCCAAAAAAAGTTGAAAATGCAAAAATGGTCATCACCCAAGCAGCATAGCGATTTAAAGCTGAATAAATTCTGCACCCTCTGACACATTAATAATTGTATCCCCCATGATAAGAGACGCCCGGAGACAATCAGAATATTTTATTTATTCTCTTTCCATTTGATATTCTTTCTCTTTTTTGTGGTCCCTTGCCCATTTCTATGATATTGACGTCATCGGATTAGTAGAAAAACCCTGCTCGCAGCGATTGTTTTTACATGGATGGCTGGTGCCTCTATAAATAAATCATTGATGGTCAGGTCAGAAAAATGTGCGTATGGTAGTGCCCAATAATGTATTACGTACTTAATTGTTATAACATGTAACTGTTACTTATAGATGTTCGAGATAATTATAGATGTTTGTGAAGGATCTGAGAGCAATGATGATTTTGGAAATGACGGTGATGGTGGTGATAAGTGATGATGTGGGATGGTGTTTGTGTAAATAATTACTAAGAAGACATGCTTCTGGGATTTTGTTTGTTTGTTTGTTTTTGTTTTTGTTTTTTAAATAAAAATAATGTTTGCGTTAGATCTCGTCCTATCTTCCTTGGCTCTGATGAGTCAAGAGGGATGTGGGCATCCGCTATCCTGTTCCCTACAGGAACCATCTTTAATGTCACTGTGAAGTTCCGAAATGGTGGGCACAGTCTCTGCTAAAGTAACCTTGTTAATGTTTTTTCATTTGATATTCAACCCATGTCCACTCCACCAATGTTGAATCACTTCAATGTACGTGCAAACACACTTTTGCATTTCTCTGATTTCGCGCAATTTAGCCAAGCCTGATTTTTTCAGGTCAGCTTTGAGTGACCATATCTCAGGCGTCTCTAGACATAGATGAAATATTGATATGTCAGACGATGAAGAATTTATTCAGCTTTAAATCGGTATGCTGCATGAGCGGGTAATGTAAGTCTATAACACGATTATTGGGTGATTACATTATCAAGGTGTTGTTTTTTTTGGGATGCCATCAAAGATCGTATATAACAAGATGGTTCACTCAGCCAAAAAAGTGTCCGCCGGAAGTCCGCTCATTGCTTCAGATGGCGCTGCAGTCTGTTTTGAAGCTCTCTTTCGTTTTCCCAGAAGAAGAATAGGAATAGCACCTCCTTGCGTGCGCAGATCGACTGCTGTTCATCAGCTGTTTGGGTTCGTTCAGGGCAGAGTTTTAGGGTTTTTATAATAATGACCTCTCACCTTTCATTCTAAAGTCAAATTAAACGAAGAAAACAGTCGCCTCTTCCTCTGGAACAGATTTTTCGTCAGCGTAACCATTTTTAAAAAGCGTTCTTCCGAAATTTGAATTCTTATTTATTCAAAAATTTGTAAGTTTCACTTTTATTTTTTTCACACAAGTAGGGTAACTCTGTTCGCAAAGGGTGCGCATTGGCGAAGAAGGCGCCACCGAATTTTGAGGACCCTTTTTTAATTGTCTCACTCAAAGAGAGGAGTGGACCATCTTGTTATGTGTGATCATTGGTGCCATTCTACAGGGTGTCTCCCGAGACACGCACCATGTCATCGGGAATTTCCACAGATTTTGGATTTCCTTCTCAATAAAAAATATCTTCAGAAAGCCCAGCGGAAACATCACAAGACAGTCACTGCAATGGAACCCACAGGGAGCACGAGGCAGGGGTAGGCCACGGGAAACATGGAGGAGATGTGTGGAAAGGGACATGAGAGAGAGATAAAGCTCACTTGGAACGAGCTTGGAAGGATGGCCCAGGACAGAGATAAATGGAAGGAGCTTGTATGTGGCCTATACCCTGCCAGGGGTGGAAGGCACTGGTGATGAATGATAATATATGTGTGTGTGTTTGTGTGTGTGTGTGTGTGTGTGTGTGTGTG